CTTTTAGTCTTTCAAGAAAGATGTAATTACTACCTTCAGTATTAAGTAGATAATAGTCAGTATAGTCATTGAAAGCGTAATTAATGAAATAATAACTTCGACAAACTAATAAACTAAGCGAAATGATTGCCTAATTCCAAGTTTTGGAATTCCAAAATCAACGCAGGATTCATTTATTATTATTATTTGTCTCTTGGGTTCCTAGTGTGTAACACGGCTTCAGGAGCAAGTCGCCACTTCACTCTCTTCTCTCCAGTCTTCTCAACCTCGCTCTACAACAGCCCAGGAGCTTTCATTTCTTATTCACACGATCTTCTCCATGTCATCATCAAAAACACAACCCGTCGTATTCCACTTGATTTCCACTCGACAGCCTGCCGCGTCATGTCCTTAAACGGTCCTCTCAGTGTGTATACAGTCCAATCCATTTCCACCTTCTGCATATGTGTTCGACCATAGGTTGTTGGTTGGTTCGTTGCCAGCCACAGTGACTTCCTTGTTGCTTATTCTTATTTTTCTGGCCATCTGTCTGATCTTCAGTATCAGTATCGAGTGAGCGTAGACTGCAGGTGTTGATGATATATGTGTGCAGTTGTTTATTGAAAATGTTTTGCGTAATGCGCCACCAAGTCTCTCAACCATCACATAGAAGCACTGACTTGACTGACATTAGTATTGAAAATCCGGATGTTGTTCCCACTTCATCACCTGTGTCTTCTCTATGTTCACTAGCAGTCAGTCTCATCTCCTCCGTCTCATCTCTTCTGCCAACTTGTTGGTTTTCGTCTGTAGATCTTCGAGTTTGTGCGACAAGACATAAGATATAAATCATGATCGGCGAAATCCAAATCTTTTAGACTATCAACGTGATTTTGAAGGTAGGTTCCTTGCCTTAGACAGTGAGTGGTTTGAACCTACATCTGCTCCTCTTCCTGATCTTGTATCCAATAGGCTACATCTCCACTTTGTTCACATCGAAACAAAGTCAGTCTGATTTTCGGGGTGTTGTAGTGTCTGCTGAAATTCATGTTGCTTTGTGAATAACCTTATATCTATACGCGCTGCCTTCAATCACGAAACCATTGAATCCGCAGAAATCTGCCAACAGTTTTCTATTCTCATTCATTGCAGCGAATGCTTCTCGATCCATGATGAGTTCTCTTCCTGTGTTGTCCGCTCCCAGTTCGGCATTCATACCACCCGTTAGAACTGTTTTGATGTCACCAACTTGGGTGGGGTTTTGTTCAGTATCGATTGCAGTTGTCTGTAGAATTCCTCCTTCTTCCCTTCATCTGCATTGTTTGTAGGTGCATGGCGTAGCACTGAATGATTGTGACTTTCCTTTCTTTTGAGTTGAACCTTGCTGCCATGAACGTGTATGAGGAGATTAGTTCCCACTGCATGAAAGCCTTCGATGCTTTTGGGGACATCATGACAGCCAGTCCCTCAGTGTGATCATGGCTGTCATCTGGGTGACAATATTAGAGTAGATTATTGACTCCTCTTCAGTCGACAGTTTGGAGAGTCCATTTCCATTCCATCTGCTCACTCAGGTTTCTAGCCTGGCTCTTCTATGTCATATCGTCTCATCTCTTAGCAATCTAGGCAGCCGTGCTACGCATCTTCAAACATTTTAAAGACATTGCATGTCCTTATGTTTACTTTCGTTTTCATCAAGGGAAGATACATCAGCCAACTGGTTTCCCGAAGGCTTTCACCAACAGGCTTCATTTCTCCTCCCTGATTCTAGCAAGAAATAAGTTCATTTGCATTTTTGATATTTCCTTTGTGTTTTGAAGTTTCTTTAGCGGTCAGATTGGTTTTATGTGGTAGGGTTGCTAGCCCAATGCCCAACCTTCCCTCTTTATTCAGGATTGGGACAGGCTAGTAACTAGTAAACTAGTTAACTAGACTAGTTAGAATCTAAATAAGACCATTGACTATTCATGCATTCATAGTAGGTGTAGTTGCTTAGTTTGACCATCATTCACCTGATATTTGTAGTATGGTAGGACTTCAGGAATTTATCATTTCAGTCAGCATACATCACTAGATGACTATGGTGGACACAACTGACCACAAAGTCAAGGTATCAGTTATCAAGTGGGAACCATTTTCAGTAGTATGAAAACATCTACATGCTATCTTAATCTTGACGATTAGGTAACACTAAATTGCTTGTTTCATCTAATCTTCTTTTCATTCTTTGTTGATGTGGTGATGTAAGATATGGTGCCTCAGTGGGTTACACAGTATCGTCAGCTTCCTTGTTGATACTGAGTGGTCACTAGTTTGTCACGTTTTATTTACATTAACTTCTACTGAATCCAAACTGTTGGTTGGCTGTGGTAACTTCATTTTTTATATAGGCTATAAAGGGATTCAGATTACGGAAGGGTAAACAGCTGAAAGGTGTTAAAATAACAAGACAGTACACAACATTTAACAAATTGTCAAGAATAGCCGTAAACATTTCCAAAGTAAAGATGACATTTAAGAATCAAATCAGGATTTCATTTGAATATAACCATCAATCAATTTGATACTTGATGATTTCAACATATTGGTCAGCATAAATGCCTATTGATGGTTAACAATTGAGTCTATAGTCTTTGTATGCCTGACTAATTCTTTTAACTTCGCATAGTTGTCTATTTAATGTAATGTGTAATTTAATAACTTGGTTAGCTAGAAACCACAGACTAATGTATAGATTTTGCCATTCAGTCACATTAGAATAATGTGAACGCTGGACCGCTGTTTCTGTCTATTTAGTGTTATGAATTAAGTATTAGAAAACAGAATTTACTTGTTTATATGAACTATGATCAAGATTTCACTGAATGTTGTCACAAATATTGATCGCTGAGTAAAAAATATGATATTAGATATAGTTTATGATTATCCAAACCATTACATGTTTGAAATAGAATAATTCCAATGTCTGGCACGGAAGTCTGATTCAAGCTTCATCAATGAAATCATCAAAAATTAAAATACCTTAGATATGTAAGTGAATTCTAAGACGTGAACTGAATCTCCTTCTTTCCTTCTTTTCTTATATACCTTCAGTTTATCACTGAACGAAAAAAGGTATAGTTTCAATCGAATGAATCATACGGCGTCTTCTAATTGGGAAATGGTGCAACACACTGAATGACAGAAAGATTAAGTACACATCTTTGTATTCATTTATGCTTGTTTAGTTTTGATTATTTCCCTGATGAAGCTTAAACCAGAATCCCTCATTGAAACGTTGGCTTACGCAAACAAATATTAACTATTACTACTTGTTAATTGAGTTTTAATTCTCCGTAGTTATACTGAATCAAAATGTCCAAACTTTGTTGGCATATGGAGAATTACAAGCATATCAACACATAATTATAACTGATACCCTTTGTACAAAAGGTGGCTGTCGTCCGCTAGAGGTATAAAGGATAACACTTTGGCGTTTGAAGTGATTATTAGGTGGTTTAACTCTCAATGGGAACAACATCACTCAGTGAAGTATGGGTACATCCAGCTGACAAATATTAAATGGTACGAAACATGCGTCCTGAATTCTTCTGTTAGCCACAACCAAGTAAATTATAATCAACATAAACTATGTCTAAATGAAGACTAAGCTGGAATTTCACAATTTGGTTACTCCAAGTGTGTTGTCAATTTCATTATTTTTAATAATTTAATAATTCCCATTGTAACATTAAGAACAAGATATTCAGCGAAGAGACTCTTTTCAACGAATTTATTTTCAAGCTGTACAATCGTATATATAAATGGTATTTGGAAAAAATTATATCCTGTGAGGAAAACTAAACACTATATGGTGATGACAGTAATAATAGAGCGGGTGATGACATAGGCATTTATGATTATAATAACAATTGAAGTGCGAATGATAACAAATAGATTATGTAATATATGGAATGGTACATAGAGAGTATATAACTCAGAAGGGGGTGAAAAAATTATTGAAAATGGTAAATCAATTAAGTATTATGTAATGGCATTAGACAAATTGGACAAGATGAAGTCAATGTTTTCTAAAAGGATTAAGACAATTAAGTGAGACAACACCGGAAACTAGTTAAAGTGAAGGCGATTATAATAACAATAACAGTGATATAGGAAGGATACAAAGGTTAAATTAACAAAGTGGGAGGGGGAGCTAATGGGGTGGGAAAATGTTATGGCCATGATAAAGACTGACTGCACATACTTCTTTTGTACACACAGATCAGGTCTTAGTTCATGAATAGCTAAAGCCTCCGCTGTTTTAAGGAGTTGAAAACGAAGAGAACGTGGGAGGTTTGGGCGAATTTGATAAATAATTTCAAAGTCATCGTCTGGATTTGTTGTGTGTTGCAAGTCAATCAAATGTTCTAGAATCGAACTTCTAACAGACTTTCTTTCACCTTTATAAAACCAAACAGGAACATGTTCTCGTATACGTATCCTTCCTTTATCACTATTATTGTTATTATAATCGCCTTCACTTCAACTAGTTTCTGGTGTTATTTCACTTAATTATCTTAATCCTTTTAGAAAACATTGACTTCATCTTGTCCAACTTGTCTAACGCCGTTACATAATACTCGATTCATTTACCATTTTCAATAATTTTTTCACCCCCTTCTGAGTTATATACTCTCTATGTACCATTCCATATATATTATATAATCTATTTGTTATCATTCGCACTTCAATTGTTATTATATTCATAAATGCCTATGTCATCACCCGCCCTATTATTACTGTCATCACCATATAGTGTTTAGTTTTCCTCACAGGATATAATTTTTTTCCAAATACCATTTATATATACGATTGTACAGCTTGAAAATAAATTCGTTGAAAAGAGTCTCTTCGCTGAATATCTTGTTCTTAATTTCATTATTTACCAAATTGTGTAAAAATCTTGTATTCACATAAAATTATGCCTTTTTTTCTTGATAAGTGATAATATTCAGGGTATTCATTTTCTTTTTTTTAAGGATAAATACGTTCTAATGTCGTTATTCATCCTATGCATTATCAGCATTTGGCATGCAGTTGTCACACTGATTGGACTAGATTTCGACTTACCAGATTCTGGAGGATTTTCATCTTCTGTATCTACTACTCAGCCGATGACAATAATCCCACCGCCTGGTGTCAGTTCAACATATCAAGGTCCAAGAATAGTTTTTCCTCATCGTAATACATCTTTACCCGTATCATCATCACTTTTGAAATCAGCTCAGCATGGAATTAATCAAACACTCAGTGATCCATCGATAAACATATCAAATTATGGTAAGTAGGAATTAAATATCTGTACTATTCTGATTACACTTATTTATCACTTTATTAGTGACAAAGGAGTTACTGTGAAATATCCCCTACTCAGTTAGGGAGGATAAAAAAAGACACGGTTACAGTGAAGATAATCATCTTTCTAGTGATGCATTTTCAACACTGTGCTCTCGTAAATATCCATATATATATATTTACATCAGAGGACGGAAAGTCCTACAGGAATTCATGATCAAAGGTAAATGATCAATGAGTCGAATTACTTGATTTCTCTTGGCAGATGAGTCCCTATGCGGATTCATCGATACTGACCAGATATTTTTTTTATATAAAAGTTTTCTTAATGGCTGGCAGTGGAACCCATGCTGTGCGTATCTTTCCTTCTGGAACTGGTCAGCTGGATACACCTGCAGGCTGAAAATTACAAGGATCAATAAATAATAATCAGAAAAGACAAGACATGGTTTCAGCAAAGAAAATATTTTATTTTCGACTAAGTCATTCATTAGGCTAGACATTCGTCAATATGTGTTACAGCGAACAGAACGTTCCAGAATCATTTCCGGTTCGGGAACAAAATATATTGAATACCTAAAGGCAGTTAAATAATATACCTTTGGGTTTAGAGTGGGAAAATAGTCAAGGGGTTGTGAAATTGAATGTAATTATGTAATACAGTATAGATCTATGACAGAGTGGTAAAGTAAAGAAGGGATGAAGTAAATACATGTGCAGTTACGTAATACAGGATGAATGTATGACAATTAAGGTTTTGTGATGTCCATGATGCATGACGCTGGTTTGAACTTCTTGATGACTAGTGATTCAGCTACACACAAATGCCTTGATCTGACTTCCTTCGAGTGGTTTGATCGAACTGTGTAGATGATTTTGAATGAGTTGCTGAAAGGAGGTCAGTGACGTGAGTTGATGAGGTTTTGTGTTATTGAAGTGAAGATAAATTTGGTTTCTGTCTATGCCAGCCAGTCTGTGTATTGATGACGTGCACGTTTTACAAGCGGACGTATGGTACGGCCAATAATAATACCTCGTATCGTTTGTACAACAGCTAGTTATTGTCACCCAGTGGCTTAGTGTGTAACGCAGTGAAGTGATGCATACACGAGTTCCAACCTCATTGGGAATGAAATCACCGACTTATGTGCAGGTATATCCAGCTGACGAGTCCCAGGTAGGACGAAACGTGGATCCTGGATTCTACTACTAGCCTTCACTAAACTCTAACCCTCATCTAAATGGAGTGATAGAGAGCTATTTTGGTTTTATCCAAGAACATCTGGATATTTCATACCTACAATCTATGCGGAATACAATACAAGATCGCTGGTGTCTCAACACTATATCGCGATGTGCTTCATCAAATTGACTAAACTAATGTGAAATTACTTTTTGATGGTGTTGTGTTACCTGAACTGGATGGTTTAGTCGTGGAGCTCTGACTGTTATTCCAGACAACATCTTCCGCGCAAATCCTATAAGTTTTCTTGTTTGCAGTCACTGGAATGTTACGCAGTGGCACACATAATAAACCCTAGCAAGAAGTTATCAACAATACTATCTGCCATCTCGTATAACCTTGTTACGAAAATCTTATATTTGGGATCACTGCTCTCCGATTTGGTCTGTGGTAGAGTCTATTGACAAATGTAGGTCAGACTGAAAAAAGACACAGATAATGCACAGATGGAAGTAAATACTGCGGTTATACGGGTTGAATATTCCTGTCCAGATGGATCTATAGATGAAACAAACAGAACCAGTGTGGAATACCAATTTGACCTTTTACTATATCGATTATTTCTAACACCAATTTATCCCTAGCTAAGTTGCAGAAAGTCAGAATCGGGAAAGCAAGACAGGCGTTCATTAGCCTGAAACCAGTGTGGAGATCTTCTGCACTCAGCATGTGGAACAAGATACGGATTTTCAACACCAATTCAGTGAAGTCAGTGCTTCTGTATGGTGGATGAGAGACTTGGCGCGTTACGAAAGGCATTTCCAATAAACAACAGACATTCATCAACAACTGCTTACGCTGGCCCGCTACTGAAGATCAGATGGATTGCCAGAAATAACAAGCAACAAGGAGCTCTGGGAACGAACCAACCAAGAACCTATCACGCAACAAATATGCAGGAGGAAGTGGAGATGGATTGGGCATACGCTGAGAAGGCCGACTGAGGACATCACGTGTCAGGCTAGTTGCTCGAGTGGAATCCCCATGGGAAGCGACGAGTTGGACGTCGGTGCCGAGGGTGACATGGAAGAGGTCATGTGAGGAAGAAATGAGAGCTTCTGGGCTGTCGTGGAACCAGATTCAAAAGATCTCAGAGAATAGAGGTCACTGGAGACGTGCTAGTGAAGCCCTATGTTCCACTAGGAACCCAAGGGACTTATAAAAAAAATATATAATTTGCAGAAAAATGTGAATGAAAAGTGTTTGTGTATGTGACCGGATTGTTCGAAGTGTTTCACTGACAGTTGTCTTCATCAGCCGGATAACATAATACACCGACTTCAGAGGAGATCATCTTTGAGTGTCTGGTATTTTTAAATTGAATGATATGTCTTAAACCTATATAACTTTCAAAATGATGCAATAATATTGAGTTTTATTGTGTTTTTCTCATGAATTTTATCTTCTTTTCACAATAGATTTTGTAAATATATCTCAGTCAGTAGGAACTATGAACACATCATATATATTAGATAATAATCATTCAACACATAATTTCTCCTCTATATCATCATCATTCTCATCGTCATCTTTAATATCACCTTCTTCTTCCTTTGTGTACAATCATCAATTTGATAATGATCCCACTAAATCGACAACAACAATGACTACTAATGATAATCATACATTCAGTTCATTATTAAAAGAACAAAGTAGTGGTTGTAGTAGAACAAATCGTATGGCATGTTCTGACTGGAAAATGGTACAACAAATAGAACAACATGTATTCACATCATTTGTTACAATCTATATACTGGCACATGCAATTTTTATATTTTGGCTTTATTTCGATGTAAGTTTATAAAATAAAGAAATGATATTTATTATTTGTTTGGTAATCAAAGTAAAGATCACTTATTTCTCATATATGAGCCATTTATTGTTACATAACTGGTACACATATGTAGGAATTAAGTCAAAAAAAGGATTCATCTGAACTATCTTAAGCCATTTAACAATTGTATGTACTCCGGAAAGGATATTATCATTCAGTTGAATGCTAATATTGTTTGTTTGTTGATACTTAGAAATGAAATGTAAGACAGTGATTATACTTTATTTGAAATTCATGAACCCCATTTATTTGAGTCTACATAAAGGTTGATGTTCTTACTGTGACTGGAACTCAGTTAAGTTTTGTTGAAATACTATAGAGTTATTCACTAGGCCAGTAGACATAACCTTCATTAGCTGTAGGAAAGAAAATGGCATATATATTAAAGTATATCGTGATGCTGGGCCTCCTAACTTACTGGTCATATTGCCGAAATGATATATAGAGTTCTGTCAGCATTCAGGGCTAGACAAAATAAAATTTGTTTGCCTCCCATTGACAAATTAATGTAGATTTAACTTCTCTCTGTATTGAACTGTCTTACTGTAGAAAGCTATCCCGAAACAGCATAGTTAATAAAACTATTTAACAAGTGTTAAGGACGAATGGTTAATTGAATTCATAGTTTTCCGCAGAAATTAACATGGGAATGTTCTGGACACAAGAAACTTTTTGGTAGATTTGTCAGCTTCACATACACCTGACAGTATTATAATGAAGATTAAGTGTATGGATGATACCGTCGAAGGGGAAATAATTTGGCAGCTGCTTTAACATTACAGTTTTAGTGCCACAAACCTTTATCAATCTCATTCAACAGCTACATGCTATATGATGCTGCATGCCAAGTGATCCACAATAGAAAGCTCATTGATGCTTTTAAATTAAAGATAGGAGTAAGAAAAGGTTGCCGCCTACTATCACCGGTCATCTTCCTGATTGTGATCGATTGGACTTGACTGGATCATGCAACAAACTTTGAGGAGCGAGAAGATGGATATTCGCTGACTGAACCAATGAAAAGACCATAAAAAGGATTTCTATTTCACCGATGATGATTTATGTCTAGTGTCGTGCAAACTAGCATATCCACAGGCGAAAGCTAACAAGTTGGCAGAAGAGGCGAGGAGAGGTAGCGAAGACGGGATTGACTTCAGGTAAACGCAGAGAAGATAGAGGTGATGAAAATACCCAACCAACAACCTCAAGCACCAATCATCATCAGCGGGAAAAATCGAAAGGAGGAAGTTGTTTGTTCCACCTGCCTAGAAAGGCAGCATCGTCCCAATTACAGACAGCGGCGGTGGCACAGTTGAGGCCGTTGAAACAGCGAGGATCGGAAAGATAGCGAAATATGCCTTCATTAATCTGAAACCAGTGTGGAGATATAATCCTTTCTACTGCATTCCACTCCACTCAGCATAAGGCGTGAACAACATCCGGGTTTTCAACACTAATGTCATTCAAGTCAGTGCTTCTATGTGATGGTTGAGAGACTTGGCGGCGCATTACGCAAAGCATTTTCAACAAACAACTGCACACATATATCATCAACACCTGTCACCTACGCTCACTCGATACTGATACTGAAGATCAGACAGATGGCCAGAAAAATAAGAATAAGCAACAAGGAGGTCACTGTGGCTGGCAACGAACCAACGAATAACCCATCACCAAATAAATATGCAGAGGAAGAAGGAGATGGGTCGGACAAGATTGGAAATACACAGAGAAGGCGGTTTCGGGACATCACGTGACAAACAAGACCAGGCCGTCGAATGGAAGCCAAATGGGGAGCAGCGAGTTATGTGTCCGATGGTAGCATGGAGGAGATATTGTGAGGAAGAAATGAAAACTGTTTGGGAGTTGTGGAAACAGGTTGGGAAGACTGCAGAGAAGGGAGTAAAATGGTGATATGGTACTGAAGCACGATTTTCCACTAGGAACAAACAATAATAAGTATAGGGATGAGTAAACTAAGATATAAAAACGCAAACAGGTCAAAGTAGGGATCAGAAAATTAAACAGGCTCATCAAAGATAAACGTGAAGAGCAAGTAAGTGTAAATCTTAGCCGACCTGCGAGCGGTATATAGAAAGAGCTGAAGCCTCGCAGTCAGTTTGTCTCATCTCGCCAGTCCTGAGAACTGCGAATACCACATCTTTGATTTCTTTTCTCAAAAATACTGAAGAATCACCGTAGAACCTCGCACAGAAGTGCATCAGTTCAAAGGGTCAAACTTCATAACAGCATACTACTAACAAGTGGATATGAAAAGAGTCATATCAAAGTAGAAAAATGCGTCTGGGGAAAGTTTAGTGAAAATGTTCAAACTTTCGAAAATATCAAAGACTGAATAGATCTGCATCACTGCAACTCATTTTCAGTCCTTTCACCGAGAGTCTCCAATTATTCATTCCTGTTGCCCAAAGAACCTCAAACAAGTAGTCTAGACTTGCTACACAGTTCAAATCCCACAATCAGATACTTCATACAATTTTGTCACGTTTCGGTTTCCCAACCCTGACGTCTTTCTCTAGACAATCCTATATCAGGTACCATGGTATGTCGAGGTAAGCGGTGGCTGGGTATAACCAATATATGACAAAGCTTACATGTCTTATGAAGGTTCACAATCTCATCGACTGACTTGCCTTCCTAGCTTGATGGTTTCATAAAGAATATATTTTGACTGGAAATAAAGTGCTTCAGATTACATCTTTGAACCTCTCGATAACTGTATTTAATTCATTGTGAAGATGAGCAGCAATTCTGCTGTATATGTGATTGTTACTGAGTTGATAACAATCAAGCATTAAAGTCAGTATATAGGTATAGGTTCTTAACATTCCAATGACTTGCTTAACGACTAATGAGGTACCTGACGTACCAAAGTTAAACTTTTAAAACGGTTTTAATCGGATCTTTAAGGTACTTGTGTCATACCAAAACATCAGTCATCATATTTTTATTTATGAGTAAACGTTGATGTAATTTGGAATCATAAAAGAGGATCTTCGAAGCAATGTCCAATTATTTCACTAATAAATAGGTTGTGTTGAAGTCAAAAACTCTGCAGGTAAGTTATTCATTCTTCGACTGATATACAGCTAGACAACATTGTTTGAATGAAATGAACTGCAGTTGATAGTAAGTACAACTTCCTGTTTCTAGATATGTAAATGCACTAAGACAACCAGTTATCCTAGACATACAAGTTCTGTTGACGGTCATTTGGATTTCTAATCGGTCAAAGAGTGGTAGCAAGTACGAAGTTAGTAGGAACACTACCATATTCTTTAGTGGGATAAAGTTTACGGGGTATATCACGTAATGTTAGGGTACTAGTTATCGACAGTTATCATTGTAGGGTACAGTGATAACTTCACCTAACTCAACTTAGTGAAGGTTTATTTACTAGGCTTTGAATTACACTTGTTATGTATTGGCATACTTTATCCTCAAGGCTGAAGTATGTGAGAGCCAAGGGTTTGAACCCCAAGTTCCATTATCTGCAGTAGATACAGTTTATTTACGATAGGAACGTGAAATAAAGTTGTATGAGACTCGTCAAGACAGCATACATTTCTTATTTGTATATATTTTATATCTTAAAACTAAACTATAGTATTATGAAGAGTATAGAATTGCAGTCAACTCTCTACCTCAACTTTAGAGACGTTGAAAAGGCCTTCGACAACGTCGACCGAGAAGCCATTCGGCAGGCAGCTGATTGAACACGACGGTTTAAGTGCCACAAACCTTTATCAATCTCATTTAACAGCTATATGAAGACGCCACATGCCAAGTAATTCACAATGGAAAGCTCAGCGACGCCGTTGAAGTAAAGACAGGAGTAAGACAACGTTGCCACCTACTACTACCGATGATCTTCCTGACTGTGGTGAACTGGATCATGCAGCAAACCATGAGGAGCGAGAAAGTGGGCATACTCTGGCTGGACCGATGAAAAGACCCCAGAGGAAGATTTATATTTCGCTCATGATAATGACTTATGTCTAGTGTCGTGCAAACCAGCATATCCACAGGCGAAAACTAACTAGTTGACAGAGGAGGCAGAGAAGACGGAAATTCCTTCAGATGAACCTACAGAAGACAGAGGTGATGAAGATACACAACAAACAACAGCATCAACAACAACAACAACAACAAGCTCAAAACACCATCAATGGGACAAACTTAAAGCAAGTTGTCTCTCTCACATATCTACGCAGCATCGTTTCAACTACACGCGGCGGCACGACAGACGAAAATGTCAAAACCAGAATCGGAAAGACAGCAAGACAGGCTTCCACTAACCTGAAAACCAGTGTGGAGATCTGCCGCACTCCACTCAGCATAAAGCATGAACAACATCCACATTTTCAACACCAATCCAGTCAAGTCACTGCTACCATATGCTTGACAAACTTGGCATGTCACGAAAAGCATTCCCAACTAACTACAGATATTGATCAACAGATACCACCTACTCTGGCTCGTTACTGACACTGAAGATTAGATGGATTGCCAGAATGATGAGAATGAGCAACGAGGAAGTCACTCTGACTGGCAACGAACCAACCAACAACTCATCTCTCAAGAAATATGCAGAATGAAGTGGAGGTGGGATGGACGAAGCATGCATTGAGGAGACCATTCGGAGATATCACGTGCCAGATCAGGCGAGGCAGTCGAGTGGAACCCAGATGGGAAACGATGAGTTGGGAATGCGAGGTGAGGTTGACATGGAGGAGATTGTGTGAGGAAGAAATGAGAGCTTCTGGGCAGTGGGGGGGAGGGAGGTTCAATAGATTGCAGAGAAGAGAGTGGAATGTATGCGTGTTAGTGAAACCGTATTTTCTACTAGGAACCCAAACGAAAAATAACAATAATATTAGTGTTATGAAAGTAGTTTCTTTTATTTCTTCGCCTAAGAAGACTAGAAAGGTGAACTT